TGTTGCTTCTGTTGTTACGAAATATTTCAATGAATTGTTTTCAAATTCTAATACAATAGGAATTAATAATGTTTTTTCTACAATATGATATTCTGTTTCTATACTAGATAATGAACTATTTATAGTTTTGGTCATAAAATCAATGAACACTTGATTTGAATCAATAATAACAATTGTATTCGAATTGTATTTTTTCTTTTCAAAGATCTTTTTTAATTGTTCATAGAATTTTTCAGGTTTGCATAAATATCTTTCTTGTTTACCATCTAGATATGTGATAACAAAACGTGTATTAGGCATTTTTGATGCCAATTGTTGAGCCTGTATTCGACTATTTTCAAATAGGGTTGATGATGATAATAAAATCGATGTTAACTTTAATTTGAATAGAGATGTATAATTGATTTTTCCTTCATGAATTGACCGTGATGGGAAATGTTGAGGTTCTTGTATTTCAGTAGAAGTAATTAGATTATCAAATATATTCAACCAATTGATTGAATCTGTAGTAGTATCTGTTAGTTGTGGAGAAGAAAGTGGCAAGAAGTCTAATGAAAGAATAGAATTTGAATCGATATGTAGGAAATCATCGTTCTTATTTCGAAATATTTGAAAACTATTTTCATTCGATTGATTTATATCTGAAATATCAAAATGAGCATTCCAAAGATCTTTAGTTTTTTCTTCAATATTGATTGTTTGTTCTTGTAATTGAGATCGTATTTCAATGAATTTTAGGCATAATGCAACATAATTTTCACATTTAATTTCTTTAGGTATTAATTTTATAATTGGATTTTCAATGCGTAAATATTCACATGTTTCTACAAATGATTGGAACCATTGACTAGCAAGAAGATCTTCTGCATCTTTTAAATCATTTAAAAATTCTGTTATTATTTGTATTTTATCTGGAAATTCTTCTTTCTTAGTCTGATCTTGAGAAGAAATAAATGAAGATTTTAATATATAATCAAGTTCATCATTGAGTTTTTTATCTAAAGGTACACGAATTAAATGAGATACATTGATAAATCTATGTTGAAAATGATTAATCGATTGTTCATATAATTGACAAATATCTTTAATTTGTGATAAAGGAAAATCTTTAATTTGATATTGTTGAAATTGTTGAATAAATCGATGATCATAATTAGTATTTCGAATAAATTCTGAAAGTTTCATTGATGAATAATTTTGAGAAGAATTTTTTAATATATCCATAATTTGTTGAAGAAGATTAGATTCATTTTGAAGTTCAATTAGATTCTTTTGTTCTAAATGATTCCATTCATCGATTAATAATGTATTAAAATTCATATCAATATTATTTGTAATAATCGAAATTTTTTTTCGAGTATAACATTGATATTTTCCTTTGATATGTTGATAATTAATACGACAATAGAGAAGATATGTTCGAATAAGATATGATTGAATATAAAGAAAATTAAATTTTAATGATGTATCAATTGTAATAAAATAATTATTTTCATTTTCAAGACTAGCTCGAGATAATTGTTCAATCCATTGATAATCCATTTTATTTAATGTAATTATACCCATATTTTCTTGAACAATCTGTAAAATTGATATTTCTCTTTTTGATAATTCAAAAATAATATCTTTCAATGGACCTAAATCAAGAATATCACCATGATTTTTTATTTCTGTCTCAAGTAATTCGAGAAGATTATTGTGATAATCGACAAGAACACTAAAATGAAAACAAAAAACAATAGATGCATTACATATTGTACTATCGATATTTAATTATCTTCGAATATATGATAATCAATTTATTTAATTCAATATAAAGAAGTTCATGACAGCTGGAAAACTACTACTGTAATACCGTGTCTTTAGAAGAGACAGACTACTCCGCCAATGTTCAAAAAATTCTTCAAAACTCTCTTTCCTTATCGTGTTAAATTAATAAGGTTAGACTGGATCTATTAGTTTCATCATGAATCTAACTATTGGATTAGTAAATATTTAGATTGAATGCAAATTCAGTAAATAATTTTTACAATCTATCGAAGAAGGAGAAACTGTCCTATTTGATCATAGTAAAATTCGATTGTTTTCTCTTACCTCAATATACGCATAATGATATCTCCTTCATCATAATTATCTGTTTCAACGAGATAGTTTATTGGTGTTTCCATAGAAATTGTTTGAAAAAGTTGAGTAGTATCACAGGCACCTGGTCGAATTTGTCCATTAGTAAATTTATGATAAGCATTAATAGCTTCAATTCCATTTCGAATAATTGTATAATATTTATTTTTTTGATTTATTTCATAAAAATGA